AGACAAATGGTGGGGAGCTTTAAATTGCAAGAGCAAAAGCTGCAAAGGAACATGCCAGTATTTTGACCATTTGATCGGAGCTGAAAAGCTCCAGGGATCTCTCCTGGAGGGCAACAGAACGTGGGATCGACCTGTGTGGGCGAGCATCACCAAGCAGTTGCAGAACGGCTGCAGTGAGTGGGTGAGGATGGAAATAGGCAGACAAGTGTGACGCACGGTGACACTTGGCAGTATTGCTGCAGCGAGCGACTGTACCATCAGAAATGGGGTGAGTCCTTGGCATGATGGTGGTTGTGTCTGGTCAGAGTCTGCTGACCGGATGTGCCCAAGGCAGGGACATTTGTGGGAGGTGGGCAGTGCCCATGGTTGGTGGAATCAGTCCCAAGTACATTTGAAGAGAAAGGGGCGACTATACTTGGATGACTGATGTCAACGAATATGGGGCCAGCAATATAACAGACCAAAAGAGAGGCCGGAAACTTGTTGCTGTGTGAATCCTGAGGAGAAACGGGGCATCAAGTAGGTTTACAGCTACATGATTCTGGAATTTGATTTTGTACCGTGGGGTTGTCCTCCTATACAAGTGTTTCATGTGGCAGTGTACATGAGAAACAGGGGCAGAATTGGAAACGTTTATTGTTTTCACACAACTTGTTTTATTTGAAGTCAGCCTCGAATTGTTATAAGCAGTGTATGCAAACATATGTCAGACAGCTTAAAAGGCATTTGGCTAGGAAGGTTTGGGGGGATATGGGCCAAACGCAGGCAGGTGGGACTAGTTTAGTTTGGAAGCACAATTGGCATGGACTAGTTGGATCGAAAGGTCTGTTTCCATGCTGTATAACTCTGTGACTCTATTGTATTTAAACTGCTTTGATATGATAGTTTCTGCAGACCTTGCTATTGATGCCGATACACTTGAATGTTTTTGGGCGGTTTGCCGAGATTCCCACTTGGTCTACAGTTGATGGCGCTAATAGGGTTTCATAATGAGGGCAGATTGCAGCTCAATGTCTGTATTTGTACGAGTGAAGAACATTTAGGGATGATCGAACTCTGACTTTTAAGACGATTTGGTAAGAGAAACTACTCTGCCTAGTGGGAGTGTTAGTGACATAATATTAAAATTAGTGCCAAACCATTAAGGACTCAGGGATTTGGGCCAAATGCAGGAAAGTAGGATTAGTTTAGCTTGGGAAACTTGGTTGGCATGGACGAATTGGACTGAAGGATCTTTTCCGTGCTGTATGACTCTATGAATGCTGGAATAACATAGTCAAAGTAAATGAACAATCTCCCTTTTTAACGGAGGTAGATTGTGTGTGTTTGCTCAGACCTGGCTAAGGAGTGACAAATTTAAAACGGGGATAAGAAGGAATAATTTCTCTCCAAAGGATCGTGAATCTGTGGAATTTGCTCCCCCAGAGTGTAGCGGACACCAGGACACTGAATAAATTTAAGGAGGAGATAGACAGAGCTTTAATTAGTAATGGGTTGAAGGGCTATGGGTTAGTGGGCAGAAAAGTGGAGTTGGGGCTTAGATGAGATCAGCCATGATAATTGTATTGAATGGCAGAACACAGCTTGGGGGCTGAATGGCCTATTCCTGTTCCTAGTTCTTATGAAAAGGACCCAGTTGATTAAACTAGCTGCACTGAGCTACCCCACTACAATGTATAATAGTTGCTGGTTGTTCAAACCTAAATATTGCTTAATATATTTAAAACTCAGGATTTTTGAAGACTTTGAATGTAGGAATTGAGTGATGAAAGGTCAGTGATCTGAAATGTTTGCTTTGGTCCCCCTTTCCACAAATAGTACCTGATCTTCCGAGTACAGGAGCAACAAAGCCTTGCTTCCATTGTATCGAACTGTAGGTACAGACTCATTGGTGTAGTGTGTGCAGTTTTGGTCCCCTTGCCAAAGGAAGGATCTACTTACCATAGAGCGAAATTTCACCAGACTGATTTCTGGGATGGTGGGACTGTCCTGTGAGGGGAGTTTGAGGAGGTTGAGCCTTTTGTTTCTGGAGTTTAGAAGAATGAGAGGTGATTCGTGCATGTTTGAAATTTTCTTTGAGTTACTATGAAGGTCTCTCCTCTCTCCTCTCCCCTCTCCTGAGGTGTTGTTAAACCCACCACTAGTCGTCTCTCTCTAAAGGGAGCGCAGTCCTATGGTCCGGTAATACAATGGAGACTTTACCTTTTTTATTCTTAAGGGTGTAGACAGAGTTGATGCAGGAAGGATGTTTCCTTTGTTTGTGCTGTCCAGTACCAGGGGATACAAGTCTCGGAATAAGGTCATTTAGAACCGAGATAAGGAGCAACATCTTCAGTCAGAGGGTGGTGAATCTTTGGAATCCTCTACCCCAGAGAGATGTGGAAGTTCAGCCATTGAATAAGTTCAAGATATAAACTGATAGCTTTCTAGTTACTGATAACAACCAGGGATAGAGCGGGAACATGTTGAGATTTTAGTAAGTTTGCAAACGATTGAAGACTGGTGGAGTTGTGGATAGTGAGGAGGATTGTCAGAGGATACAAGATGTAGATCATTTGGAAGAGCAGGGGTAGAAAAATGGCAGATGGAGTTTAATCCGGACAAATGTGAGGTGATGCATTTTGGAAGGTCAAGTACAGGTGGAAATTATACAGTGAATGGCAGAATCCTTAGGAGTATTGATGTGCAGAGGGATCTGAGTGTGCAAATCCACCGATGACTGAAGGTGGCAGCGCAGGTAGATAAGGTAGTAAAAAGGGCCTATGGCACACTTACCTTCATTGGCAGGGGCATTGAGTATAAGGATAGGCAAGTTGTGCTGCAGCTTTATAGAACTTTAGTTAGGCCACACTTGGAATATTGCATACAGTTCTGGTCACTACACTACCAGAAGGATGTGGATGCTTTGGGGAGGGTACAGAAACAGTTTACCAGGATGTTGCCTGGTTTGGGGGATTTTAGCTATGAAGAAAGGTTGGATAGACTGGGTTTGTTTTCACTGGAACGCAGGAGGCTGAGGGGCGACCTGATAGAAATTTATAAGATTGTGAATAGCATGAATGGAATGAAAAGTATGAGTTTTTTTTAACAGGATGGAAGGGTCACTTACCAGGGGACACAGGTTCAAGATGCAGGGTGGGGGCAGAAGTTTAAGAGATGTACGAGGCAAGTTTTTCCACACACAAAGGAACATGTTGCCAGAGGAGGTGATGGAAGCATACACAATAGCTGCATTCAAGAAACACCTGGATAAATAGATGAGTAGAAGGGGAATAGAGGGATTCGAATCCTGTAAGTAAAGACAGTTTTAGTATGGAAAGGCAAAATGTGTTGGCGCAGGTTTGGAGGGCCGAAGGGCCTGTTCCTGTGTTCATAGAACCCCTACAGTGTGGAAACAGGCCTCTTGGTCCAACAAGTCCACACCGACCCTCAGACATCCCACCCAGACCCATCCCCCTGTAACCCACCAAATCTACATATCCCTGAACACTATGGGCAATTTAGCACGGCCAATCCACCTAGCCTGCACATCTTTGAACTGTGGGAGGAAACTGGAGCACCCGGAGGAAACCCACGCAGACACAGGGAGAATGTGCAAACTCCACACACAGTCACCCGAGGGTGGGATCAAATCTGGGTCCCTGGTGCTGTGAGGCAGCAGTGCTAACCACTGAGCCACTGTGCGCCCCAAATGCAACTCCCCATCTGGGACTTGAACCCTGGTCTCCTGCGTGACAGATGGGGATACTAACCACTATACTAATGAGGAATGAACGGAGTGTTGAATTGTTCTTTGTCCTTTTTTGAGATAGATGATCCACCATAATTTGGAGTGGTGGATAACACTTAATGGGCTGAATGGCCTATACCTCTCCCTGTGACCTGCATGTTTTATGTTCCAATCATATTTTAAACTGTCAGCATTCATGGTATTTTGTTCCTGATTTTAAATCTGCTCACCTGTAATTGTACTCTTGAGGGGGTGGGTTCACATTATGAATATTGCAATCCATATGTGAGGCCCAGTGATGCAAATTTGGCATTGGCTAACCGGCTGCGATGTTATGCAGTCCGTTGTCCAACAGTCCATCACAGGCACGTGCACACACGCCTCTGTAATGATTATAACAAGGTCAGCCAGCTGGACTTAATAGAATGTGAGTTCCCTAACTGGGGCAGTTAATATGGTCAGTGCATTTAATGTAGGAGTTGGGAGGTCATGTTGTGGCTGTACAAGACATTGGTTTGGTCACGTTTAGAATACTGCATTCAGTTCTGGTCTCCCTGCTATAGGAAGGATGTTGTGAAACTTGAAAGGGTGTGGAAAGATTCACCAGGATGTTGCCAGCGTTGGAGGGTTTGAGCTATAGGGAGAGGCTGAATAGGCTGGGGATATTTTCCCTGGAGTGTTGGAGGCTGAGGGGTGACCTTTTATAGAAGTTTATAAAATCATGAGGAGCATGGGTAGTCTGAATAGCCAAGGCCTTTTTCCCAGGATAGGGGAATCCAATAGTAAATGGCATAGGTTGAAGATGAGAGGGGAAAGATTTAGAAGGGACATTAGGGGCAACTTTTTCACTCTCAGGGTGGTGCGTGTATGGAATGAGCTGCCAGAGGAAGTGGTGGAGGCTGGTACAATTACAGCATTTTAAAAGGCATCTGGATGGGTACATGAATAGGAGGGTTTTGAGGGATATGGGCCAAATGCTGGCAAATGGGATTAGATTAATTTAGGATATCTGGTTGGCATGGATGTATTAGACTGAAGGGTCTGTTTCCATGCTGTACAGCTCTATGACTCTATATGGAAATGCCATTTCCCAGTCTGTCTGAAGGTGGGGGTCAAGGGCAAGAATGGACTAGACAGACATGCCTTCCTTGGTTGAGTAGCCAGGTTTGTTTGACCTTCTACTGGAAGAATGGTTGATTGGGCTGCTAACCTATTACAAGTGCACGCCATCAGGTTAACAGAGGGTAAGTGTCTGCTCTGTGTTTTACAGTGAGACCGTGATGGAGAGATCCAGCAGTTGGACAGAGGTGGTGTTGTTAGCATGTGGGTCATTTAATCCCATCACAAACATGCACCTCAGGATGTTCGAATTGGCCCGCGATTATCTCCACCAAACAGGTTTGAGGTCTCTTTTTATTTTAGTTTTTCAGTCTTGTGCACCCTTCAAATTGTTTGTTTGAATCAATCTCTGTTCCTGTCAGATGTGGTCAGAGATTGTGCTGGTTCTATATTTTGTTGTTCAAAAATTTTAGCCAGGCATTTTAAAAGGCTTTATGTTCTCATATCATTTCTTTCTGCCTTTCTCACGTTCTCCTCTAATCAGTATTAGAAATGCAGGACCCTTTAAGGGGAAATACCTTTCTAATCAACCTGTTCAGAGATGTTATTACACACCTCTGGGGCAGAAGGCACTCCAACCAAGGACCCCTAGTCCAAAGATAGGGATACTACCACTGTGCTTCCTTTTAAGGGGACAGCTCCCGAGTTGATTAAGGGAATGTGATACACGTTGGATTCTGCAACACATTGTATTAGTAAAGGCGAGCAAGCCACACCTACTAGAACCAATTCCACTCGAGATCATGGCATAATTTTTTTAAATGAAACAAATAAATTTGCTGTGTATAAGAAAAAGTGTGAAGTGATTCATTTTGGAAGGTCGCATTTGAATGCAGAATACAGGGTTAATGGCAGGATTCTCGGCATTGTGGAGGAACAGAGGGATCTTGGGGTCCACGTCCATAGATCCCTCAAAGTTGCTACCCAAGTTGATAGGATTGTAAAGAAGGCGTATGGTGTGTTGGCTTTCATTGGCAGGGTAATTGAGTTTAAGAGCCATAAGGTTATGCTGCAGATCTATAAAACTCTGGTTAGACCACACTTAGAATATTGTGTTCAGTTCTGGTCACCACATTTATAGGAAAGATGTGGAAGCTTTAGAGAGGGTGCAGAGGAGATTTACCAGGATGCTGCCTGCACTGGAGGGCACATCTTATGAGGAAAGGTTGAGGGAGCTAAGGCTTTTTTCATTGGAGCGAAGAAGGATGAGAGGTGACTTGATACAGGTTTACAAGATGATGAGAGGCATGGATAGAGTGGATAGTCAGAGACTTTTTCCCAGGGTGGAAATGACTATTATGAGAGGGCATAATTTTAAGGTGATTGGAGGAAGGTATAGGGGAGATGTCAGAGGTAGGTTCTTCACACAGAGAGTGGTGGGCAGTGGTAGTGGAGTCAGTTACTTTAGAGACTTTTAAGCGACTCTTGGATAGGCACACAAAGATGGTAAAATGTAGGGTATGCAGGGTAGATTGACCTTAGTAGGATAATAGGTCGGCACAACATCGTGGGCCGAAGGGCCTGTACTGGGCTGTACTGTTCTATGTTCTTAAAAAGAGCTGGCTTCTTTACACACCTCCAAGTCTATTTTAGTTTAATCCTGTCCCTCTCTTTCTAATCTTCCCTTTTTGCAATTGTCTCTTTGTCCCTGCTGGGTACAGCTGGTTAATTGTTTCGTTGATTAGTAACATGGGTGATGGGGTCTTATGACGCAGTGGTAGTGACCCTACCTCTGAGCCCAGAGACCAGGGTTCAAGTCCCACCTGCTCCAGAGGTGTGTAACGACATCCCGGAACAGGTTGATTAAAAATGTCTAAAATTTTCTGGTGAAACAGGTAGTTTTTGCAGAAAAAAACATAGCTGCATTTTTGGGGATCAGATGTCACGAGGCAGAAGCTGCCATTTTGTGCTCGTTCATTTTTGTTGTTTTGAAGCCTCTAAACATTTTTGAAAAGAGCTGGATTCTCCCAAGGGGGGTCTGGAAGGCATTATCTCCCCGGGTGACAGCATCTTAGTTTAACTCCTTCCCCTGTTTTTCCCCACTTTTTTCTTTTGTTGTTGTACAACAGTGCTTGTAATTTGTTTATTTGGGTGATCTGGTGGTGGGGTTTGGAAAATAAAGGAGCTGACCTTCTCCACCCTCAAATCTTTGAGAGAATGGGGCTGGGGTTCATTTGTTTTCTCCCACCAACTCCATCTGGATTTTTGTCTCCTTGTTTTCTTGATTATTATTTTGTTCTTGGCACACTGCCATCATGGGGGCTAGTTGTATTTAGGTGTTTGGGTGTTTAGTCTATTTAGCACTGGGTTTATTTCTTGAATTTAAAAAAAAAACTGAGTTCTTCCTGAGTGCTTCTGAACAGGCAATGGTGGAAACTGGTGTTAGTGCTAAACTATAGATTCACAATAAAACCCTTGTAAATCTCTGAAAGTCTTTTGCTTCCTAACTCCTCTGTGGATATTGGTGTGTTAAACATCTGATTCCCTTGGTCTTTCCTGAAGACTTTTTTTGGTTCTTTTATTTCTTTCCTTGCCATTTCCATTATAGAGTAGGCAACAGCCTAGTAGTATTTTCACTGGACTGTTAATTCGGAGACCCAGGTAATGTTCTGGGAAACCAGGTTCAAATCCTGCCATGGTGGGAATTTGAATTCAACGAAAATCTGGAATGAAGAGTCTAATGATGACTGTGATTGTCGGAAAAATCCACCTGGTTCATTAATGTCCTTTAGGGAAGGAAACTGCCATCCTTACCTGGTCTGGCCTACAAGTGACTCCAGACCCACAACACTGTGGTTGACTCTGAAAATGCTCTCTGGGCAATTAGGGACGGGCAATGAATGCTGCCTAGCCAGTGACGCCCTCATCCCGTGAATGAATAAAGAAAAAAAAGTCAGGATGATGAGCCCCTTAAAGGGGAACTTGCAGGAGGTGTTCCCATGTATCTGCTGCCCTTTATTCTTGAAGGTGGTAGAGGTTGCAGGTTTGGAAGATATTGTCCAAGGAGCCTTGGTGAGTTGCTGCAGTGTATCTTGTAGATGGTACACACCTACTGCGCCAGTGCATTGGTGGCAAAGAGAGTGACTGTTGAGTGTTAGATGGCGTGCCAGTCAGGTGGGCTGCTTTATAGTGGATGGTGAACAAAACATATTCAGTCTTTATTTGATGGGATGTGGGTATCGGTGGCAAGACAGAGGCATTTATTGTCCTTCTTTGTGAGCCTCCACCTTAAATCCACGTGTTGCAGGCACATTCTCAGTGGTTATGAGGGAGAGAGTTACAGCCTTTGACCCAGCAACAGTGAAGGAAGGTGTTTCCATGTATCTGCTGACCTTGTCCTTCTACAGCTGCTGGGTTAGGAAGGTCCTATCAAAGCTTTATCTAACACCGTTATCTTTTTCAGGAAAGTACAGGGTAGTAAAGGGTATAATATCTCCGGTCAGTGATGGATACAAGAAGAAGGGTCTAATTGAAGCGAAGCATCGACTAGCTATGGTGAGAAAGGCCACAGAGAGCTCTGACTGGGTCACAGTGAGTTCTTGGGAAAGCCAACAAGAAGAGTGGGTGGAGACTGCTAAAGTTCTCAGGTGAGTGACGCCATGGAAAACTCTGCCAATCCTTTTATCAAAACCCTTCTCTGTAAGATTAATGCGTCTCTGTGTCCTCTTAGCCAGTCACCTTACTGCATCTAGCAGTGAAATGAGAGACCTAGGTGTGCAGGCACATAGTTCCTTGAAAGTGGTGTCACAGGTAGACAGGGTGGTGAAGAAGGCGTTTGGCACACTTGCCTTCGTCGGTCAGTGCATTGAGCACAGGAGTTGGGAGGTCATGTTACAGCTGTACAAGACATTGGTAAGGCCACATTTGGAGTACTGTGTACAATTCTGGTCACCCTGCTATAAGAAAGATGTTATTAAACTGGAAAAGGTGCAAAAAAGATCTATAAGGAAGTTACTGAGACTGGAAGGTTTGAGTAATGAGGAGAGGCTGGATGGGCTGGGACTTTTTACCCTGGAGCATAGGAGGTTGGGGGGGGCGCAGTGGTGATCTTATAGTGTTTTATAAAAAACATGAGGGGCATAGATAAGGTGAATAGCAAAGGCCTTTTCCCCAAGGTAGGGGACTCCAAAACAAGAGAGTGTAGACTTAAGGTGAGAGGGGAAAGATTTAAAATGGTTCCTGAGGGTCAACTTTTTCACGCATGGTGCGCATATGGAACAAACTGCCAGAGGAAGTGGTAAAAGGTGAGTATAGTTACATCGTTTAAAAGACATTTGAACAGGTACATCGATAGGAAAGGTTTAGAAGGATACAGGCCAAATGCAGGCAAATGGGACTAGTTTAGTTTAGGAAACCTGATCAGCATAGATGAGTTGGGCTGAAGGGTCTGTATCTGTGCTGTATGACTGACTCTAATTGGGATTCTGCCATGAGGCTGTAGGGCTTTGTGATTTACAGCCCACAGTATGTTTCTGACAGGGAGGACAGAATTAAAGTACTTGTTATCGCATTCTTGGCCATTAACTGTTTGCAAGTTATTTCACAGAATTATTACAGCGTAGACTGAGGCCATTCAGCCCATCGTGTCTGCACTGGCTCTTCAAATGGGCATCATCTCCACGTGCCAGTCTCCTGCCCTTTCCCTCGATGTTCTTACACATTATTTCTACCCAAATAATTATCCAATGACCTACTGATGGGCGATGGGCATTGCATGTGAGAGTTTGAATCAGTTCTGATGTCAGGAGGTATTTTCTGGACCTGGTGGATGGGGAGAGCTGCCTGTATTGGGTGATGGTTGTCTCCGTTGAGGCACAGGGGAATGAGGGGCCCCCTTTGCAGAATCTGGCTCAGCGAATGCACCTGCTGTGGTCAATGCCCAAAACAGGGGAAGTTAGAATGAGGACTTGAATTTGTCTCTCTAATGAAATAGTGTTTAAGACCAGGCCATGCTTTTATCAGGAGGAAGACTCCACCGATGTTTGCCTTCCCTACACCTTCCTCGGCAATTCTGTTTTTCCATGGGCTTGTATCCACCGCCAACTCTGGCATCAAAACTGCCCAAGATACCCACCTTGTCTGTCTTTGGGACACGGGTGACGGGGAATGGGAAGGGGTCTGACTTATTCTGCACCCCTTCCTATAAGACCATAAGAAATAGGAATGGGAGAAGGCCGTTCAGCCCTTCAATCCCATTCAGTAGGGTCATAGCTGATCCAATGACATTCCTCATGTCCACTTTCCTGCCTTTTCCTCTTAACCCTTGATTTTCCAACTAATTTGAGAACTTATCTCTTTATCTCAGCCTTAAATATACACAAGGACTGTGCCCCCTCAGCTCTCTAATGCAAGGTGTCCCAAAGACACTCAGCTGTCTGAGACAGGCACCTGTAGGCTCTACGCCATGACTGCACATCCAAACAATGCACCAAAGATTCATAATCACTCCATTACTGAAGTTCAACCCACATGGCCCTGGAAACAATAACCCAATGTTTCCAGCACACAGGCCAGAAATTTCTTCGCAGAATATTGTGAGAAATTCCGCTCTTGTTAAGCCGAATAAACAGGAGCAGCCATTTTGAAAAGAAAGTTGGCAGTTTTGTTTTTCAACACTGCTTTTGGTACTTTTACACAGATACCATAATGACAATTTGGAGATCCTCAGTAATAATGAGAAGAAAATCACGACCCAACGCAGGAAGGGCAAGAAAAGGAAGCTCAATGAAAAAGATGACAGTACCCTGGAAGCAAAAGGTGTTTATGGAACAGATGTTACAAAACATATGGTGACTTTTTTTTTATTCATCCACAGGAAGTGGGTGTCGCTGGCTAGGTCACCATTTATTGTCCATCTCTAATTGCCCAGAAGACAGTTAAGAGACATTGGTGTGGGTTTGGAGTCACATGTAGGCCAGACGAGCTAAGGATGGCAGTTTCCTTCCCTAAAGGACATTAGTGAACCAGATGGGTTTTCCCCAACAATGAACAATGGTTTCATGGTCATCATTAGACTGTTCATTCCAGATTAATTATTAACTTTCTCCATCTGCCATGGCAGGAATTGAACCTGGGTTCCCAGAATATTACACAGAACATTCCAGTTCTGAGGAAGAGTCACCAGACCCAAAACGTTAACTCTGTTTTCTCCTTCACAGATGCTGCCAGACCTGCTGAGCTTTTCCAGCAACTTTGTTTTTGTTCCTGATTTACAGCATCCGCAGTTCTTTTGGTTTTTCCCAGAACATTACTTGGGTCTCTGGATTAACAGCCCAGTGATAATACCACTAGGCCGTTGCCTCCCCCTTACATATTTAAACTTCCACAAAATAAATGAGCTGCAAGGAATGGTTTTGAAATGGAGAAAAAAATCAAAATGTTTAGGGCCTCGCCTCATTTAGTGACAGATGCTCTGAAATAGCACATAGCTAATTTTGAAATTATCCCCGAATCTGCTCCCATCAGTGGGAAATACAGGCAGGATCACCAGCGGAAGGCAGAGATGGTGGGGAGGGGGCAGTTTTGAATCCCAGGTTGGGTATTGGGTTCAGCCGCCATGATTTTATTTCCCAGCCATTCGGGGAGCTGCAGCTTCAAGGAGGAAGTGGTTTGCTCCCCGCGAATAGCAAGAAAGTAGTCAGAAAAATTAGGAGTCCATTAAAGGACCTGTTGGGCTGCTAGCTGGTGTCTTCTGGTTGGTCGACACCCTGACCTCCACAAGCAGTTGGGGGATTCTGGTTTATTTAATGGCTGTCCTAGGATCGTACAGCACAGAGGAGGCTCTTTGGCCCATCAAGTCTGTACTGCCAAATCTAGAATCATCTCACTTTCCAGCACTAAGCTTTGAATGCTATGACCCTTCATGTGCTCCCATCCAAGTATTTTATAAAGGCTGTGAGGTTTCCCACCTCAGCTCCCCATCCCAGAGCCCTTTGGGTGAAAGTATTTTTTCTCAAACCCTCTAATCCTCCTGCAATTCACCTTAAAATTATGCCCCCTTCCCTCGTTATTGACCCTTCGACTCAGGGGAACAGCAGATTCCTATCCACCCTGCCCATGCCCCTCAGAGGTGTATAAGTTCATCATTGTTAACGTTTTGGGTCCGGCGACCCTTCCTCTGAGGAACCGAAACATTAACTCTGATTTTTATTTTCTCCAGAGATGCTGCCAGACCTGCTGAGCTTTTCCAGCAACTTCTGTTTTTGTTCCTGATTTACAGCATCCGCAGTTCTTTCGGTTTTTATAAGATCATCATTATCAGATTCTGTCTGCCCCCACTGTGGGGATTGGGGCAGCTGGGAGCCAGCATTCCAGTTGGTTTTTCTTTTTAAAACCCAACGCAGCAGCCGCAACTAATAAACAGTACAACCAGAAGCCCATCTAAAACTTACAGCCCAGGATCCGATCACAAACTGACACTAGCGAGAGCTAAGGGTGAAAATGTGAGGTGTAGTGGGAATGTCACTGGAGTAGTAACCCTGAAACCCAGGACATGCCACCCCTGGAAGATGGTGAAATTTGAATTGAATAAAATGTGAAATTTTATTTCACCAGCACGGTGACTCGGTGGTTAGCCCTGCTGCCTCTCAGCGCTGGGGACCCGGGTTTGGTTCCACCCTCGGGCGACTGTCTGTGTGGAGTTTGCACATTCTCCCCGTGTTGTATGGGTTTCCTCCGGGTGCTCCAGTTTCCTCCCACAGTTCAAAGATGTGTGGGCTAGGCGGATTGGCCATGCTAAATTGCCCACAGTGTTCAGGGATGAGCAGACTAGGTGGGTTAGCCATGCTATATTGTCCCATAATATCCAGGGATGTGTAGGTTAGGTGGATTAGCCATAGGAACTGCAGGGATAGGGACAGGGGTAAGGGGCTGGGGCTGGGTGGGATACTCTTCAGAAGGCCAGTGTGGACTTGTTGGCCTGATTCTACACTGTACAGATTCTATGGAATTAAAAAATAATCTAATGCTGACCCTCTGACAGTTGCTGAGTGTCATACAAAAATCTGGTTCGCCAGTGTTCTTTTCTAGAACTGGGGGTGTTTTAAGGCAAGAGGCAGAGGGTAAGTTTGAGGCAAGGGGCAGGAGGTTTAGAGGAGATGTGAGGAATTTGCTTTTCACCCAAAGGGTGGTGAGAGTCTGGAACTCACTGCCTGTAAGGGATGATGAAGGCAGAAACCGTCATAACATTGAAGAAGTATTTAGATGTGCACTTGCAATGCTGAGGCTGACCAGGCTATGGGCCACGTGCTGGAAAATGGGATTAGAATGGTTGGGTGCTTTTTAACTGGAACAGACCTGATGGAACAAAGGACCTTTTTCTGCACTGTAGATCTGTGCCTCAATGAGGGCTCACTGTTTAGAAGTAAAAAGTCACCCAGTTAAGACAAATGAGCATTCTTAGGAGTTTTCTTTCTCCAGAAGTGGTGGAAGCAGAGTTTTGAAGGCAGGATGGATAGATTCCTGATTAACAAGGGGCTGGAAACTTATTGGAGGTGGGGGGGAATGTGAGAGTAATCAGATCAGCCACAATCGTATTGAATTGTACATCAAGTGGCCAAGTGGCCTGCTTTGCTCCTGATTTATATGTTTGTATACAAGAATCGTTTCTTATGATTGTGATAACAGCCTCAGGTGATTGCTAAAGTTATTTTTCCCTTTGTTTGCATGCTCATAGTTCTCAAGACCTCCAGTGATCTACTTTAAAGTCAATAATCTAATGGCCTGCTACATGTGATGGGATTTTGTTTCCTCTCCAGAGGTCCCTGGGTTAATGCTCCTATGTGGAGCTGATGTTGTGGAGTCTTTTGGCATTCCCAACCTGTGGAAGAAGGAAGACATTGAAGAGATTGTGGGGAAGTTTGGCATCGTGTGCATCAGCCGTCTTGGGACCAACATCGAGAAATTTGTCTATGAGTCTGATATCATGTGGAAGTTCAAGGAAAATATTCATCTTGTGACAGAATGGATTGCCAATGACATCTCAGCCACAAAAGTTCGGCGAGCTTTGGGAAGGGGACAGAGTGTTAAATATGTGATACCTGATTCCGTCATTGAATATATTCAAAAGCACAATTTGTATGATCCATGTAGTGAAGACAAGAACTCTAATATCACTTTAGCACCAATGCAACGCTATGCAAAATGATCCATAGGAGTTCACCACAGGGTCAGACTGGATCAGATTGATCATGTACACACATTATTTTTATTGCATGTTTGGGTTATTTTTAATAGAGTTAATGTACTGACCTCAGTGCCTGTATTGGGCTCCAAGAATGGGAGAAGGTGTCTGATATGACGGGTGATAAAGAGTTGGTCTAGACCATTGCCTCATGGCAAGACCTAAAACTAAAGGCTGTATTATCGTCAGTGGAATTAGCTACATACTGTGTGCCTCAAGGCTGCTGTAGGAGAGAACCTTTTAATATACCGTATTATATTCTATTGGAGTACTGCCTTATTGATGCATTATGCTGTTTTTAAGCCTCCTAACTAGAGCCATCTGCGAATGTGGATATCCAACCGCCTCTCTTCCTTCAACTCTTTGACATTTTATGAGGCCTCAGTGGTCATCCCTTGTAAGAGACCACTTGTTACATGCTGTCCACGTTAGAGACATTACCTTTTACACAGACTTTGTGTCTCCTCCGTCCCAACCAACTACCACCCCAGGTTGTGCTCATTTTGAGCGCTTTCATTTTTTTGCTAATGATCGCTCCTACGTGTAGAGGCCAGACTGTCCGTCTCCAGCTGGGAGCTGGTGCCAGAGATGCCCCACCGCACCCCCCTCCACCCCCCACCCCCCACCCATCTCCTTGCCTTAATGACTGAAGATTTACCTGAGGATGCTGCTGGGGCATGTCTCTCACCTCTGTAAAGTTAGTCATTTGGAGCCTGACCAATAGATTTTAGACCCCATTTGAAAATGGGAATGTGTCACAGAGCCTTGCACACCCCCAGTGTAGCTGCTCAAGTGTTTTGTAATGGGCCTTGTCTAAGGTGGCCGTGCCTGGAATGCTGAGCTGGAGTGCTGTGTGCTGGACTACCTCAGTGCTGGCACCTGGAACACATCTGGAAGAGGTGTCAAACCAATCAAAAGACCATCCAGATTCACTATTCTCCTTGGCACAAGGCAGGGCTAAAGGTCATTTAGCTGGACCCAGAAGAGAAACTCTAAATAAACAAATCCCACGCATTTGTTACGACGTTGAATGAGAAACTGGAAATAAAATATGTGCACTGGTCTATAATTTGTACTTTTTTAAATGTTCTGTTTCAAGCTTTATCGGATAGAAGATTTACAGGAAACCTGCTGAGGTATTGGTTGTTACTGTGATGTGGAGAAAAGAGGATTATTTGGTGTGTTGTTCTCAGCCACAGAATCTCCCTTTCTGGGTGTTGTCTGCTAAGCTTGGGAAGAGACTTCCTATGAGTATCGCCGAGGAGCCAGACAGAATATTTACAGCAGGTACTTTGGCAGCAGGAGATCCAGCTGAACACCGGGGAAAAGCCTCCCCAGGATAGAGCACTTAAAACTTTTAATGTGAAATTCTTTTAATTAGAGCCTGTTTGCTGGTTGCTAAGCAACCTGCACTTCAGAGATGGCCCAGAGGAGACCCCTCAGAAGATATTGAACATACCTAATCAGGGTTGAAATGCTTAGATAAAAACCGAAAGAACAGTGGATGCTGTAAATCAGGAACAAAAACAAAGTTGCTGGAAAAGCCCAGAAGGTCTGACAGCATCTGTGAAGGGAAAAAGAGGTAATGTTTCAGGTCCAGTGACCCGTCCAGTTCTGAGGAAGGGTCACCAGATCGGAAACGTTCACTGTTTTTTATCTTCACAGATGCAGCCAGACCTGCTGAGCTTTTCCAGCAACTTTGTTTTTGAAATGCTTAGATGGTCGATGCACCAGACTTTGAATTTGTGTGACTTTGAGTGAGTCCGAACTTTTTTTTTTAAAAAAAAGCACAAAATTAGTGCACTTTTTGGGTTTTTGCAAAGAGCAACAATAAAGGGCCCACCACCTTGCGTGAGCCTTATTTAAAGAAATGGAAATGTGCTCATTGATTGCATTTGAAATCGATTAGGTTGTTTAAACCCAGTAACACCTCAACTCCCAATAACCCGAGGTATAATTGCAGTCTCTGAGTGGGACCAGGGTTAAATGAGAAGGTCTAGAACCAAACTAACAAAATAAAGTTACTGCTGCCAGTGAGATTGTTGGGAGTTGGAGTTGGGGTTGGGGGGGCAGTGGTGGAGAGAAGCAAAAATCAAAGAAAATACAACAGCTCAGTAACCTCACAGCACCACTCAACTTCAGATGTATATGCACTAAAACTGCACAATTCTACAGAGGAGGTCAAAGTGATTCAGTAAATGTGTGTTCCCCTCACTGCTGATTGTTCTTGGTCTCATTGTTAGGCAAGAGTTGTCTCGTTGAAGTGTTGGGGACCTTTAGTCAACAGATGTGGGGGCTATTAGTTGTGTGTCTCGACCTAAGTTTTGGCCTCGGAGAGTTTGGAGGTGCGTGGCCTGTTACAAAACGTGAACACGATCTGGTGAGTGCTGCCAGATCAGAGGTGCTGGGAGATAGCAAGAACTGCCGATGCTGGAGTCAGAGTCAACACGGTGTGGAGCTGGAGGGACACCGCAGATCAGGCAGCATCACAGGAACAGGAGAGTCAACGTTTTGGGCCTGGACCCTTCATCCTAACCTAAAACGTCGCCTCTCCTGTTCCTCTGATGCTGCCTGATCTGCGGTGTTCCTCCAGCTCCACGCTGTTGATGCAGAGGTGCTGATGTTTGTAATGAAATATTAAGCTGAAGGTTCCATCTTGGCTTCAGTGGTCCAGTTGGATGTTAAAGGTCTCGGGACACTAGGAGAGCAAGAACCAATGTTTAGTCTCTTAAATCTGCACGATCTGATACTGTTCATTCATCTCCCGATTGTCTGCTGGAATCTTGGGTACAGCCTGGCTGTGTTTACCTCTAATGGGGTTACTATAGAATCCTAAACCCTTGGTTCTCTCATTCCAATAAACAGAATGTGCCATGGAAGCATCAGTCTTCATTTCACGTTTTAAGTGCAGAAGCTAATTTTATTGTCAAAGTTTATTTGAAAAACAACATTGAAAGATGTAAGGGCATGTCAATGCAGCACAGAGTAAGGTAATGTCACGATAGTGCCAGTCTCATAAGAGAAATGGATAACTGATTGGGGTTTAACCTGAGGGTCACCATCCCTCAGGAGAAGGGAGAGGTTGAGAAGGAGAGTCCTTTATGGTAACCCAAGCCAATGTGGGAATTGAACCCATGCTGTTGGTATCACTGCATTACAAAGCAGCTGTCCAGCCAACTGAACTAACTGATACTGACGCCCCCAATCCCCTCACATAAGGAGGCCATTCAACCAATCATGCCTGTACAGTATAGCTAGTCTATTGGATAGTAGTAATGTGCAGAGATATGGAGGAAAAGGCTAGAGATTGGCACTAGGTAACAGAACTGGTACAGGTATGATGGGCTGAATGGCCTCATGGACTGTAATAATTCTGTGAATGAGTCCCATTCCTCTAATCGTTCTTCAAAGCCCTCTTCAATATGTTCCCTTTAAGTATTTATCAAATTCTCCTGAACAATGCTAAAAGATCACATTGAACCAAAACTATGCTTGATTACCAATAATTAGAATTAGCGTTATTGTCACGTACTCAAATGAGTAGAGTGAAAAGTTCACAAGTCACCACTTACGGTACCATCTTTGGAACAAAGGTACTTAGGTATGGATTCTTAAGTACAAATTCTTAAGGGAAAAAATTAGAAAAATACAGAAATAAAAAGTCCAGTATTACAGATACATATATTTAGATATATTGTCAATATGTGGATATGTTATTGATATGGAGGGAGAAACATGGAGTTTAGAAGGATGAGGGAGCATCTGGTTGAAACTTACAGAATACTGAGAGGCCTGGATAGAATGGATGTGGAGAAGATGTTTCCAACAATAGGAGAGACTAGGACCTGGGGACACAGCCTCAGAGTGAAGTTAATGTTTCAGATTGATCAGAACTTTTTAAAATCAGTTTTAAATCAGCTAAAGGCTCTCGCACTGAACCATTAACTCTTGTTTCTCTCTTCACAGATGCTGCCAGACCTGCTGAGAATTTCCAGAACTTTGTTTTTATTTCAATTTTCTGCTGGCTGCCGTATTTTATTTTTGTACAAAAGATTGAAGGGGCCTGATTGACATTTTCTCTCAAACAGCATCCCCACAAGCGGATGACCTAGTTCTGTATTATTGACAGGGTATTGGTGCACTCATGCAGACTGGCACGCTTGGTGAGAGAGGAACAGTGTGACTGCACTGTACTCGTTGGAGTTTAGAAGGATGGGGGTTGGATCTAATTGAAACTTACAGAATACGGAGATGCCTGGATAGAGTGGACATGGAGATGTTTCCACTAGTAGGAGGGACTAGGACCCGAGGGCACAGCCTCAGGGGAAGGGATGACTGTCTGGAACTGAGATGAGGAGGAAATTCTTCAGCCAGTGGGTGGTGAATCTGTGGAACTCATTGCTGCAGAGGGCTGTGGAGGCCAAGTCATTGAGTGTTTTTAAGAGAGAGATAGATAGGTTCTTGATTAGTAAGGAGTTCAAGGGTTGCAGGGAAAGGGCAGGAGAATGAAGTTGAGAAACATATCAGCTGTGATCGAACAGTGGAGCAGACTTGATGGGTCAAATGGCCTAATTTTACTCCTATGTCTTATGGCCATATGGTCTATATGAAGGAGCATGCTTTACTTTAAATTTGAGGAAGGCAGAATTCAAACTCAGCGCAAAGAAAATAAGAGACTAAAGTCCTGCTATTCTAATATTTACTAACTCCTTTGGAGCATTGCGGAACTTCCCTGAGGCTGCGACATTCGAGGCTGAGATAGAAAGGTTTTTGATCAGGAAAAGTTATGGGAAAGTGGGGGTGGCTATCAGATCAGCCATGATCTCATTGAATGGCACAGCAGGGCTGAATAGCTAACTTTGTTCCCATGTGTCTTGCCCTTCTGGTCATTTAGAAGAGAATCAGATCAAAATGCTGAGATAGAAATGTATCGGGAGATGAGGGGAGGGCTGCAGTCTGATAAAGATTTGATCTACATTCTCATAGTGAGCTGCAACTGTTCAATTGTTCTACCTTGTTCCTGTACCTCTGAAATGAGTGCAGTGCTGACTAATGGCTCTTCAGTGCTTGTCAAACTTGTAGTGATCAGGTCACTCTTAATTGCCCTTCCCTACCTGTACTTATTAACTGTTCCTGTTTAATTCGATTAATTATTTAAACTAAATTGTTTCTGTAATTAAATATGCCAGCAATTTATCACATTCTTAATGATTTAAAGTGTTTGAGTGGGGAGCTGAGACTGAAAAGAAACATTGAATGAGACTGAAATGGTTATGTGAATTCTGTTTAAAGGATTTTGAAGATAAATCTCCAATTACCCTTCTGGAAGGACAGTGACCTTTTAAGACTTGCCTGTAAACAAGCTAAGCCTGTCACACAGTAGAACTGAATCAGAGTATTGGCTAGTCTGTAGACATTAATCCCTGACATTCATGACTCATCGTTTTGACTTGTCATTAATCAGCAGCTCTGTCGATGTGTGGCATTTGCAAAACAATGCAAGATCAGCAGGAATTTGTAGATCCAAATGCGTATTTAGCCAATCTACCAGCTCCAATTACTGAGGATTCCTGAAGCCTAATGTTAGGCACTTCTCCAGACACGGGAATCTCAACTGGGTGCAAGACTAAAGTAGGAATATCAGGGATGAAACTTAAAGTGTAGCCCCAAATAAATAATAAACGGAATTGGCACCTTTTATATTCTTCCAGATTTACTCTTCCTGATAGGTCACAGATTCACAGATTTGTACTTCTGCCAAAGACCCCTTTCACCGTAGTGAATGTTTTCTAAATCTATACATAAGGGCTGCAGGATTTATTTACTGTGGATGTCTGACATGTTTCAACGTGAGTGAGAACTAACAAATGTAAACCTGGAAATTACTGTTGCAATTTGATGGACTAACAGCTTCAGGCTCACATGTTTCTCCACTGAACTCATTTGTTCAAAATTCCTCTGAAATAAAGAACAAGACATTTGGTATGGCCTCATTTAAATCTGTAGCAAAAAGATAACATTTAAACAAAGAACTTATAGAAGTTTATAAAGTCACGAGGGGCAT